GTTTCAAAGTCTGATTTTGGTTAGTATAAGAGCGCAAATACAGGATATAAATATATATGTTATAGGCCTATTATTAAAGAAAAAAGAAAAAAAAAACTTTATTCTGAAAATATGGCGGCTATGGTTTTTGCCGTGGCGGTACACCATGATCAGTTACATGTAGGGGAAACCCTGGGTTATAAGTTGCTCTGTCACAACTTTCTCTAAAACCTTTAAAATTTAGAAACATTTATTCGGCTACAACAGATGTTGTTTTAAATTTTTCTTCAGGGGGATTTTGTGCGAGTGAGGAAGATGGATTTAGAGAAATTAACCACAGAAGTCATGCAGCTCAGAGAGTTCCTGCCCAGAGTTCTGAAAGGTAATCTGAACGTTACTGAGACGCTGCGCTTTAAACCTCTGACCTTTGACCTCTGACCTGTAGGTTTGTCTGTGAAGAAGGAGCAACTGGGACTGGAGTGTCTGCACCTTCAGTCCAGACTGGACTCAGTCCAAAGTGAATGTCAGAAGGAGAGAGAGGTGAGGCGACAGGTTGTTCCATTGTTTCATTTGTCAGCAGGGCTGGAGACGAAGGAAGGAAGGAAGCAGTACATTTATTCCACGTTATTAAAGTAAAACAGGTTCCAGAAAATAAAATGCTCAAACAAAAAGTTACCTGAAATTTTAAATAACCTGAAAACTGATTTGGGCCTGACAGTTTGGATTTTTGAAAATAGCTTTTGTATTACAAAATGTTTCATATACTGGACACAAACCCATCAAACCACTACATCAGTGAAATAACTTCCTGTAGACCTAACATCATCAAAACACTACATCAGTGAAATAACTTCCTGTAGACCTAACATCATCAAACCACTACATCTGTTCAATAATCACCTGTAGACCTAACATCATCAAACCACTACATCTGTTCAATAACCACCTGTAGACCTAACATCATCAAACCACTACATCTGTTCAATAACCACCTGTAGACCTAACATCATCAAACCACTACATCTGTTCAATAATCACCTGTAGACTTAACATCATCAAACCACTACATCTGTTCAATAACCACCTGTAGACTTAACATCATCAAACCCCTACATCAGTGCAATAACTTCCTGTAGACCTAACATCATCAAACCACTACATCTGTTCAATAACTTCCTGTAGACCTAACATCATCAAACCACTACAGCTGTTCAATAATCACCTGTAGACCTAACATCATCAAACCACGACATCAGTGCAATAACTTCCTGTAGACCTAACATCATCAAACCACTACATCTGTTCAATAACTTCCTGTAGACCTAACTTCATCAAACCACTACAGCTGTGCAATAATCACCTGTAGACCTAACATCATCAAACCACGACATCAGTGCAATAACTTCCTGTAGACCTAACATCATCAAAGCACTACATCTGTTCAATAACTTCCTGTAGACCTAACTTCATCAAAGCACTACATCAGTGCAATAATCACCTGTAGACCTAACTTCATCAAAACACTACGTCAGTGAATTCACCACCTGTAGACCTAACATCAAACCTGCTTCGTACCTCTGACTCTGAACCCGGTCCATATCTGTGTATTGTTCAGGAGAAGCTCCTGCTGTGGGACCAGCTGTGGCAGAATGGGTTAGAACTGCAGCAGCAGGCAGACTTCTGCTCCTCCATGGGTTCTGCTGCCTGCAGTCTGCTGTGGAGCTGCTCCTCCAGGGAAGAGACCGTCACCAGCTGGGTGGCTGATGTGAGTGTCCCAATGACAACCAGAGTCAATTGATGGTAGTCTGTGGTCGTACAGCCAGAGGGTGGTGGCTTAAACTACAGGAAGTGGCCCCAGATGGACACCAACTGCTCTTGGCCAGGTTTATGGCAGCCATCTTGGAAAGACCTACTTGTCTCACCCGATAAACCAAATGTGTTCATATGGTTCTGGGTTGTGTACTTTGTGTGTACTGGTGGTACTGGGTTGTGTACTCTGTGTGTACTCTGTGTACTGGTCCAGGGGAAGCTTCAGTCCTTCCTGCTTGTTGCTGCCCAGACTCTGGAGAGCTTTGGTAAGTCTCTGGACGATGAGATGAAGACTCAGACCCAGACTGAGGACCCAGACTCCAATGAGAACCAGTTCCTGTTGGGTCTAGTTGGGACCATCACCAGTGAGTGTTTACATTTCAGGGTCTTAACGAGCTCGCCTCAAACTGTTACTGGATTTAAGCTGTAGAAAGGAGGTCTTCCTGATGTCTTCTTTGTTTTCCACCAATCAGACGTCGCAGCAGTGACATGTGGGCGGGACTTCCTGTCCAGCTCAGGGCACATCTTATTGGATGCTTTGATTGGACTTCTGGAGTTGGTGAAGCCAGGGGTCTCCTCCAGACTGAAAGTGTATGTGGTGGTCTTCTTAATGACTGATTGCAGCAGAGGAGTGTTTGCTTTATTACACGTGTTATTACAGGTTGTGCCTGATGGCTCTGTATAATGTGAGCATCAGTGTTAAAGGACTGAAGTACATCAGTAAGAACAAAGGACTGGTGCCCCTCATCCTGACCCTGCTGGATGGTGAGAAGATCTAATCTGATCTCAGACTACTGTCACATGTTCATATCTATCTATCTATCTATCTATCTATCTATCTATCTATCTATCTATCTATCTATCTATCTATCTATCTATCTATCTAT